ACACACACACACACACAACACCACCACACACACACATATATATATATATACATATATATATATATATACATACATACATACATATATGTATATGTTTATGCATATATATATATATATATATATACATATATATATATATATATATCTCAAAAGAAACGTATACATACACCAGTGATCATAGATTATGATTACTCACAGAAACAGTACCACAATACCTAACAGAAAAGCACAATCACCGTGAACAGTGAACAGAAATAAAATTTTCCATAGTCATTTGGACAATCAGTACCACAATCGCCTGCAGCGGAAGCACAAGTGTCTAGCAGACGGCAACCGTTGACAGGACCTCACAACCACACTAACAAGAAACCACACATAGCAGTGACCATAAAACGAGACCCTCTGTACGATGCACAGAGCCATTTACACACACATCAATAACCGCAGATCAAGACCCTCCATACCATTCACAGAGTCATTTACACACACAACAATAACCACAAATCAAGACCCTCCATACCATTCACAGAGCCATTCAGCGCCAGGCCTGGTGCCGCCGGTCGTACGCCGTCACTGCCGCATGGCTTCCCCTTGGCACCGCTTTGCGGCTGTGGCACTGGTGACAGACTGATGGCACTCACGCTCGCATTGCCGTCCGGCAGTTCCCTGTGCTCGTGGGGTGATGATGAATGGACCGGTATCTGCTTGGGTGCGTGTGCTTGTTGGTGTGCATGTGCGTGTACGGCCACTGCGATGGGTAGTGATGAATCGTGTGCCGAGTCTGGACTCTTGCGCGCTGCTGTGTGTGCTGGTGCTTGTTTGGTGTGTGCTGGTGCTTGTTTGGTATGTGCTGGTGCTTGTTTGGTATGTGCTGGTGCTTGTTTGGTATGTGCTGGTACTTGTTTAATGGGTGATGATGCTTGCACCGATACCCCGTCTTGGTTGTGAGATGGCGCGGCAGTGCCTGTTTCTAACCTATCTCCGAGGGTAGCTTCACTTGACCCATGCTTGTCCCGTGCTTCGGTTGGTACCGTTGTGTCATGTTGATGTGGGGTTGGTGTAGTGAGCGCTTCTCCTGCCCGGGGCAATGAGGCTGTCGACTGTTCCGTTGCGCCGGGAGTATAGAGATTGGGGTCAGACTTTGTACCGGTCGCCTCCTGTGGGATTGCCAAGTCTTTTCTGTGCGTTGGTGCTGATTATGAATATTAACAGAATGTAAGCAAGATGTTTGTAGTAAGATGTGTGTAGTAAGATGTTTGTAGTGCGATGTTTATAGCAAGATGTTTGCAGTAAGATGTCTGTAGTAAGATGTCTGTAGTGCGATGTTTGTAGTGCGATGTTTGTAGTGCGATATTAGTAGTACGATGTTTGTAGTACGATGCTTGTAGTAAGATGATTGTAGTGCGATGTTTGTAGTGCGATGTTTGTAGTACGATTTTTGTAGTACGATGTTTGTAGTACGATATTAGTAGTAAGATGTTTGTAGTGCGCTTTCTATAGTGACAAGTTTGTAGTAATATGTTTGTGGTGCGCTTTTTATAGTGACAAGTTGTAGTAAGATGTTTGTGGTAATATGTTTGTAGTAAGATGCTTGTAGGACGATGTTTGTAGTAATATTTTTGTAGTACGATGTTTGTAGTACGATGTTTGTAGTACGATGTTTGTAGTGCTATGTTTGTAGTAAGATGTTTGTAGTAAGACGTTTGTAGTAAGACGTTTGTAGTTCGATGTTTGTAGTGCGATGTTTGTAGTGAGAAGTTTGTAGTAATATGTTTGTAGTAATATGTTTGTAGTAAGATGTTTGTAGAAAGTTGTTTGTAGTAGTATTTTTGTAGTACGATGTTTGTAGTGCTATGATTGTAGTGCGATGTTTGTAGTGCGATTTTTGTAGTGCGATGTTTGTAGTGCGATGTTTGTAGTAAGAAGTTTGTAGTGCGATGTTTGTAGTAAGAAGTTTGTAGTGCGATTTTTGTAGTGACAAGTTTGTAGTAAGATGTTTGTAGTAAGATGCTTGTAAAAAGATGTTTGTGGTAATACTTTACCAGTAATACTTTTGTAGTAATATGTTTGTAGTAAGATGTTTGTAGTAATAATTTTGTAGTAATAATTTTGTAGTACGATGTTTGTAGTGAGAAGTTTGTAGTAATATGTTTGTAGTAAGATGTTTATAGAAAGATGTTTGTAGTGAGAAGTTTGTAGTAATATGTTTGTAGTGCGATGTTTGTAGAAAGATGTTTGTAGTAATATTTTTGTCGTAAGATGTTTGTAGTGCGATGTTTGTAGTGCGATGTTTGTAGTAGTATTTTTTTAGTTAGATGTATATAGAAATATGTTTGTAGTGCGATGTTTGTAGTGCGATGTTTGTAGTACGATGTTTGTAGTACGATGTTTGTAGTGCGATGTCTGTAGTACGATATTTGTAGTACGATGTTGTAGTGCGGTGCTTGTAGTA